ACTATATATGAAGTTCATATATTTTGAACTGCGGTATTAAATACGTATGATGCACGATCCTTCGCAGTAGATAGCGCTATTTATGCAATAGCGAAAATCAGACCTGAAAAAAATCAGGCCTGTACGGGATTCGAACCACTGACCTCTGCGATACTAGTGCAGCGCTCTACCAATTGAGCTAACAAGCCATCTGGGAGCAGGCCGTTAAGTTGATTCGTAATGAACCCGTGATGATAAATCAGATACAATGTATATATGAAGTTGATATATTTTGAACTGCGGTTTTAGATACGTATGATGCATGATCCTCGCAGTAGAGAGCGCTATTTATGCAATAGCGAACAATTTATGCAATGTTCGCTATTGCATAAATAGCGCTCTCTACTGCGAGGATCATGTATCATACGTATCTAATACCGCAGTTCAAAATATATGAACTTCATATATACATTGTAATAGATTTTACCGCGCGAGAAAATAAGACCATCCCGAAAAAGTACGAGCACAAGTGCTGTCTTATATTGATAGATAGATTGATAGATTTGGCGCGTACTCGGAATTCCCGGAATGACCGAAAGATAATAAATTTTTAAAAAATAAAAGTAAATCAATCAATAAATAAGAATATTGATGATTAAAAATAAATGGCAAATTTACAACTGAATTAGATAATTTACTACGAAATTTTTCTCTGAGGGTCCAAAAAAACGAAAAAAAAAAAAAAAATTACCGTCACTGTTCATGGAGAAGCACGTATTAGAATTAAAAAAATTCTGCGTCAGGCCAGTAACCCATACAGCCTAAGCGACGAAATATTTCTTCTCTCCCTTGCCCCTGAATGGGATGCTAGTTCATCAAATGGTTACTCACCGTTTTAAATTCGGCTCCACCCATTTACACACCTGTAGGATGTCTAGGACGCAATGACCATTAGGCCGCCACGCTTTTCCAGCCGGAACCATTGCAGAAGATTAAACAAATGCAATATTTCCAATTAACTTAATAGTTAAATTGTAAAAAGCCCCAAACTATTACAAATTAATACTCTACCTTAAATAACTATTAACCACACATTGGGAGCTATCATGCAAAGCAGCAGCCAATAAGACCAGTTAAAATTGAGAGATCGACACCTTTTCGCATTTATTATAAATACCTTGAATATATACCTTTGAATATAACCCTTGTACTGATGGATTCTTCTAAACGAGAAAAAGGACAAAAACGGACTTACTACTTGGTTGTCTCTGGAGATGGTAATTTTTTTTCCAGTTACTTTTACTGTACCTAGATAAATCGAGTCGTTTTATCCTGAACAAATAACTTAGAATAGAATCTCCTTCAAAGAGGGAATAATGTGGTCGCACTTTGGATTTGCTCGCCGAGTACTTATCGTATTTACATCCACTTTTCCACATAGAACCCACAGTGCTTCAGGATCGTCAATAATAAATCACACTTCCGGTTTATACAACTTGAAGCAATCTTCGGCATCAGTTTGTGTATTGTAGGCTGTAAGCTACATGTAGTTCTACTATGTGCATCCCCATGAACAGTGTCATAGGTAGTTATTTTTTGTTACATCATGTGATCCCTGCATTTTATCGAGAGAATACTTTGCATTTTTTTATTTTATTTATAGAGAATTGATTTTCCTTTTTATCTTTTTAATTTTTATTTTCACTTTATTTTTACTTTTTTGATTAATTATTTTGGTTTTTTAATTATTTATTCAAACTTATTATTTTTAATTATTGATTGATTTATTATTTTTCGGTCATTTCGGGAATTCCGGGTATTCCGGGTATTCCCAGTATTCCGGTTACAAATTCCAGCATTCTTTATTTTCCAAACAACCCCAGAGACTGATGGTTGGCGGGAGGAAATACAACTGATCACCTCCGTCACAGGTCAAGTTATTGATTGAATGCTAATAGTCCTGTTGACACGAAATACCGGGAGACATTGGTGATGAGGCTAGTTTAGGGGAATGACTATTCGTGCAGTCAGGACACATTGTGAGTTGCCTGTCGAGTAATCTTCCTTTTCTCCCAGCCAAGGAGATTAGGCATGAGGGAAGCAGGAGAAGCCGCAGGCCGCCCAAGCTCTCTGTAAGAACCACACAAGGAACACAATTTGCATATCGATTTATAAGGATTTGTAAGGGATTTTCTACAAGATATCCATGGAGATAGTTAAAAGTGAAGACATTAAATAAAAATGGCTTACCTTATTCTATACGTGTTTTGTTTAGGGACCGGTCATTATTTATCGCCTGGGGGGGGTCGGAGTATTTTTGTTGTCACATCGAAGCATTTACCTGATCCCCCCGTAGAGTATCTGGTTTTTTAGAGATCCCCCCTTATCGGTAGTGGAAAGTTTCATGATCCCCCCCCCCTGCCCATACAGTGCCTGACGATCCCACTATTGCTTTGGGCCGGACAAATACATAGTGGCGATCGTCCTCAGTTATCAGCTTCTCTTCAGTTTCATTCATTACACTTGACTTCGTGAAAACACGGTGAGAACCCGGGGTCACATATACCATTTTCTCAGGCCAGTCGTACTTTGGCAACTTCCTTGCTTTAGTGTGATCTGATAATGTTAAGATCCTAAGATTTCTGGCTTTGTCAAAACCTTCAGATGTACCTGGTCTAAGGTAAGCCTTGTCATCGGTGCTTCTCATGAAACAAAACTTTCTCGCGCTGGAATTTCTGGCACCCCAGAATCGTCTTTTTATGTTTTTTACGTGTGCTCGTTGGTAGTGAGTGTTTTCGTTTGTGTTTTCTTCGCCTTTTGGTGGCTTTTTCCAACAAAATAGGCCTTTGCCACAATGGCGCTTCGCTTGGAGACTTCTTTTGTTTCTCGGTCTCGCCCTGTTGTATACTGTTGTAGCGGATTGAATTAATTTCTTCCCACGTTCAGCTAGTCGGTAGTTGGCAATTGAAAGAAGGTTTTTCTTCTTCACCCTCTGGCCGGTATAGAGGACCGTATCATGTCGTCTACCATGATAAGATGATTTATCCTCAATTGCCTTTGCAATGAAGTCTTCATCTTCCTCATCTAGCTTTGGCTTCGGACCTTGGTTTGACAACTTTCGCCTCTTCAGTCGATTACATTCGATAAGGCTTGAAGCTTGGCGCTTGAGCATTTGGCGTTTTCTCTGATAATTGCTTTCGGTGGGCTGGCTGTGAAGAAGCCCCTCCGTGTCTTCAACTTTTTCCTTGAGTTTTTGTACTTCGCTTTGGATTTCTTCTAACGTTTTGGATGACCAAATATTTGTTTTCTTTTGAAGAAGGTTTTCCTTCTCTTTTATCTCCTTCTCCAGCTTTTCCTTCTTGGAATTTAAGCGCAACCTAACGAGGTCGGCTGCTGCCTCATTAGCATTTTTTACCTCTTCAACAACGAATTTAACTCTCTCCGTCATAGACGGAAGATTGTCAGGATCGAAGCCTAGGGCTGTCATTTCTTCTCTAGAGAATATGGATCGCAATATAACTCTAAGACAAATTTTATCCCATTCTGAGTCCATGGTAGTAACGATACCTTGCACGGTTTCCTTATCGAGAACAAGAGCACTATGTCCACTTTTAGTACTACAAGCACTAAAAATATCCAAAAGGAATGACTCTAAATCGACTTCGTCAGGACGGAGCGCGACATACTCAAAACCCTCGGTTATACGAATGAAA